TTGCGGAATGCCATCTGCGGGATTCGAACCCGCCGCAACGACCAACCAGTAGGTGTCAAACCATGACTAATGAGTGCAAGCCTTGGCGCTCAGGGACACCCATAAGATTGTGAGGCCACAGCACATACGTTTTAGACTGGGTGGGATTCTTATACCCAACAGGAGTCTTCTGCCCGCCTTCTCATTAGAATATGCATAATTTGTGTTTCAGGCACTAGTTAACTAGTGAGCTGCTGCACTGCCACACATGTAAACTGGTGAAATTTCAATTGTTCCACTAGTTAACTAGTGGACAAAAATGGTCAGCTTGTATGTGTTTTTAGATGCAACTAGTTAACTAGTGAGCAAATCCGCACCTCACTAGTTAACTAGTGAGGTGCAGATATGCTCACTAGTTAACTAGTGAGGTACTAGTGAGGTGCAGATATGCTCACTAGTTAACTAGTGAGCATATCTGCACCTCACTAGTTAACTAGTGAGCAAATCCGCACCTCACTAGTTAACTAGTGAGCATATCTGCACCTCACTAGTTAACTAGTGAGCAAATCCGCACATCACTAGTTAACTAGTGAGCAAATCCGCACCTCACTAGTTAACTAGTGAGCATATCTGCGCCTCACTAGTTAACTAGTAAGCAAATCCGCACGTCACTAGTTAACTAGTGAGCATATCTGCGCCTCACTAGTTAACTAGTAAGCAAATCCGCACGTCACTAGTTAACTAGTGAGCATATCTGCGCCTCACTAGTTAACTAGTGAGCAAATCCGCACCCTACTAGTTAACTAGTTGGCGTTTTGGGGCCCACTAGTTAACTAGTGAGCATATCTGCACCTTACTAGTTAACTAGTGATGCTTTTTTGCACCTTACTAGTTAACTAGTGGGCGCTTAAGGGTGCACTAGTTAACTAGTGAGCAAATCTGCACCTCACTAGTTAACTAGTGAGCATATCCACACCTTACTAGTTAACTTGTGGGCGTTTTGGGGCCCACTAGTGAACTAGTGACACTTATTTTGCACCTCACTAGTTAACTAGTGGACATTTGTACCCTCTCTAGTTAACTAGTGAGCAGTTCCGCCTTCACAAGTTTACATGTAAGTGTCACACTGAAGCCACTACTAGTTCACTAGCTGAGGTTCCTCTGGCCAGCATGTTAACTTGTGTGCCGCATGCAAATGTTTGGGGTGGGATTTTGCAAAATTCCGCACTGTGATTGGTTGTCATATTTTATTTTAACATAGTGAGCCAATAGAAAGCCTCAATTTGAGAAATTCTCTGCCTCCTAATTAGAATTCTGTGCAACTAGCTAGCTAGTGTGAATGTAGGCTTGAACTAGTTTACTAGTATACATTTATGTCCTCACTAGTTAACTAGTTTGGACAATGGATGCATCAACTAGGTAACTAGTGAGCCTGCTACAATCAACTATCTAGCTAGTGAGTCATTAATGGTTCACTAGTTAACTAGTGGCACTGCCCTACTCCAACTACTTAACTAGTTAGGAGTTTTGCCTTCACTAGTGAACATGTGGACACTTTGAACTGTCACTAGTTAACTAGTGAGACACAAAAACCTTCAACTAGCTGACTGGTATGCATTTTAGCCCTTACTAGTTAACTAGTGAGCCATTTTTGTGTCACCTAGTTAACTAGGAAGCCAAAATGTGTTCACTAGTCAACTAGTGGGCATTTCTTCTGTCACTAGTTAACTGGTGTGCACATTTTGGCCATCACTAGTTAACTAGTGAGACACAAAAACCTTCAACTAGCTGACTGGTATGCATTTTGGCCTTTACTAGTTAACTAGTGAGCCATTTTGTGTCACCTAGTTAACTAGTGAAGCCAAAATGTGTTCACTAGTTAACTAGTGAACATTTCCGTCTCCCACTAGTTAACTGGTGGGCTCATTTTGACCCTGACTAGTTAACTAGTGAGACACAAATACCTTCAACTAGCTGACTGGTATGCATTTTGGCCTTTACTAGTTAACTAATGAGCCATTTTTGTGTCAACTAGTTAACTAGTGAAGGTCAAAATGTGTTCACTAGTTAACTAGCGTGTACAGTTTGACCCTCACTAGTTAACTAGTTGACCTGTTGACAAGATATCAGAATTAATGCTCAAGCGGCTGGCCAAATTGGGCAAAGTTAACAAGTGGGATTTTTACATTCAGTAGTCAGCTAGTACGAGTTTTTGTACCTTACTAGTTGACTAGTAAAAACTAAATGTGTTTTAACTAGTTAACTAGTGGACATTGATCTGTCCACTAGTTAACTAGTGAACACACTGAGCAATACTAGTTAACTAGTAAGATATGAAACATTTTAACTAGTTAACTAGAGATAATTTAGGCCTTACTAGTTAACTAGTTGACATTTAGGCTGTCACTATTTAACTAGTTGACACAAACATGGCTAACTAGTTAACTAGTGGACAGAAATGGCTTACATGTTCATGACAATTCTGGCTGATATCCTGATATCAGAATAAATGCTCATTTGGCTTGCCATACATATCCATAGTCGCCTCATGTGCCGTGTTGTACATCAATGCTCCGTCGCTGTAGTACACTCTGAATCTGGCCGGGAATGGCGACTGGAAGCAAATATTATTTTCCTTGAGCACCTTCTTTGCTGCTGCATATTCTCTTCTTCTTCGTTGTATCTCCAGAGCATAATCATTGTCTAGATGTATCCTGGTGCCTTGAAGTCAAGCCCCTTTGCTCGCCAAGCCTTCCTGAGTATATCCTCCTTGGTACAATAACTTGCAAATTTGACAACCAATGAGCGTGGTGGGGCCCCAACAGAGGGTTTCTCAGCGACAGCAGGTTGCGCTCTTGCAATCCCTAGCACTGGAGAAGATAGACCCAATGTTTTTTCAGAGTTTGTATAAAAATTTCAACAGACTGGAATGTGTCCTCCTCCCCTTCCTTCACGTCATATTTTCTGAGATTTTCACGCCGTGAATGGCCCTACAGGTCCAGCAGCTTTGTTTCATATCGCATCTGAAGCTGCTAATTCCATTAGCAGCTTCTCTGAGGGCAGGATTCGAGTCTCCACTCCGTCTATGCGACCCTCTGCTTCATCGAGTCTCTTTCCAATGCCATTCACGTACTCCCTTATGGCGTTAAACTGCTCATTTGTGTCTTTTCTAAAATCACGCAACTCTTTTAATATCATATCCATGGCAATGGGGTGGTCTTTCACGTTAGCATTAGCTCTATGTTACTGCTAGCTTGTGATGAAGCATCTTCTTCCACTTCACTGCGTTCTCTTAAATTGATTTTCTTGGATTTCCTGGACATTTTTGTTCCAAAAAATAATACCCAACACTTTCAGTCTATGCTTTTTAGGTTTTGAGTTGGATAAGTTGGGAAAACAATTAATAGTCAGGAGCGCTTGCTTGAGGCAGCCATCATTCGACCCGCCAGACCGGAAGCCCCTGTCCCTGAATTTTAAATACGTATTTTGGTGTCAAGGAGGCGCTTATTTTCAAACGGGGGGAAAAGTTCTTTTAGGTTTTGTGTGAAAATAAGTCCAGGACTACAAATGCGCATCACCAAAGTGATCTTATGCTCGACAAAGAGATTTGATTGTACAACAGTGACGTTACGCAGGAAGCCTTGAGAGAGTGACAGAGAGCATATATCCACAAAGTTCAGTAATGAGTCTTTAAGGCAGTTCTTTATGTTATTTGCATACTTCTGTGCACCTTTGCGTGTCACATTGCGCTGCGTAGTGGGACAAAAGTCAAACAGGACTTTCTTGGAGGTCTCAATCCACTCAGTCAAATGAGTTCACTGCAAGAAGCTCATCCTGGCTGATGGTTTTGGAATTCACAGCTAGGAAGTTTAGTAGTTCATCCTCTACAACTACCCTTGACTTCTTGGTTCTTCTGGGTTTTGTCTAGATCAGTACAACTCATGAGCAGCTAAACTACTTCTGTCCGTTCTGTCCGCCATCTTGGATGATGCTACAGAGGCAAGAAGTCCGAATATCAGGAAATAATATAGAGTGGGACTCCAAATCCTCCTCTTTTCGGCTCCCCTCTCCTTCAACTGACTTCTGGTTCCTGAAACAGGAGCACCAGAGCTTTTCCCCCACAGAGATCGACTCACAAGGCATTCTAGGCAGATGAGGCATATTGGAGACCACTACAGATGTGTTGAAAAAGACAATTCTTCAGCGTTAGACAGGTGTCACCAACTCCAGTCCTTGAGGGCTACCATCCTGCAAGTTTTCTGTTTCCTGCACTACCACACCTGAATGGACTAATTTAATCCTCTCCTTAACTCTACACAGGCCTACTAATTAATCATTCATTTCAATCAGGTGTGTAGGAGCAAAGAAACAGTTGACATGTGCATGATGGTAGCCCTCGAGAAGCGGAGTTGGTGACCCCTGGCGTGAGAAATTGCAGGTGTGGCGTAAGGGCGTGTGAAGAGGGTCAAACACATGTGTCTCACACTCAATACGTGAGAGTTGGCAGCCCTGCTAAAGGTAAAGTACCACAACACCTCTGGAACATTTTCACAATAAAGAGAAAGAACCATTTAAAATAAAAGGTCAAAATAAAATTTGACTGAAGTCTGTCACTTAGTGACTTTGTGATCAGCAGCTACACAAATAATCAGATCTGCTAAATCTGCTGTACCTAACCCTAACCTGGTGAAACATTAAAAACCAGGATGAACATTAAATTAATGATAATCTTTGAATGATTCAAACACGCTATTTAGTGGCTTAAATGTTGATAGGTAATGGTGTGCTTTTATTGAACAATACTATTTCACTAGTAAAATATGTGTTATAACCCCCCCCCCCCCCCCCCCCCCATGTCCGCCTCTGCTCAGCATAGGAAAAAACTATCCCAAACTGGTAGATTGGAGCTGCTCTAAGTAGTGGAAAAGGGTCACAACAGTTTTCACCATCTTCAGCTGATTTTTGTATTATGTCTTTTACATCCACACACATCCGTAAGGTTTTTCATTTATGCCACTAACCATGATTTATGCTCAGCTGCAGATCCTTCAGGATATTGTCTTTGCCCTGTCTGGTGAAGCAGTGAGCCGCAGTCAACACCCAGTTCTGGCTGACGATTGACCCAGAACAGAACTTTCCCCGTTCATTCTGCAATGAAGAAAAAGTCCTTCTTCTTGACAGCTTTATTTAAATTCTGCTGTTTTCTCTGAGTGTGTGCCATGTTCTTACTGATGTCAGAGTCACGTGCCACGGCCTGGTATACGGCTTTTTATTTCCGTGTTTAATTTCTTCTTTGGAGATGTCCTCCTGAGCGACGCCACACATTGTCACACTTTTGTCACCTGTTGTATAAAATGGTTAAATGTATTTCAACCATCAAAGACTTCATTCTTTTAAAGTTTTGGTTACTTGTAGGTTTACGTGACTTTTGTGTGTAGTTTACAAAAAATGTATAGAACTACAGCTTAGACCTTAGAGGCTCTTTTATGCATTTTCAGGAATGCAGAACTGTTAAGTACACAGAGAGCAGGAAAGGCCAATCACATGTTGGCAAGTATCAGGAGAGCCAATAGATGAGCTTATGGATAGTTCTAATGGGAAACAGGCTTTCACACATTAGTGAGAAACGGGACGGTGTCTGCGGCCCCCTGAAGGCCTCCCAGACACAACTCCTCCGGCTACACCAGGGAAATCAGACAGTCAGCCAATACACCTCCCGGTTCCACACCGTTTTGGCCAAACTGGGCTGGGATGATGAGGCGCTCACTGCTGTGTTCCTAGAGGGGCTCTCCTCCCACATACGTGATGGCATGATTAGTCACGAAATACCCACAACCATGGATGAAGCGGAGGATTTGGCTCTCCAACTGGATGGGTGTCTCGTCTCTCACTTCGGTGGCGACTCACCTCCTAGGACTGTCAGAGCCAAGCCCCAGGTCAGAGGCCCATCAACATCCGAGGAGCCCATGCAATTGGGTCATTTATTTCCAGAGGAGCGAGCCTGTTGTTTCCGGGAGGGCCTGTGTGCCTATGGAGCCTCAAGCCACCGACGCCTCTTGTATCCCCTTCGAACAGGAGACGAGGGGTCCGGGTAGATGTAGAAAGAATCGTACCCGGAAGGGTCTCGCCTCCTCCAAGGAATTGCTCTACTCTTCCAGTCATCCTCTATTCACCTGGAGGCCCTCCTCAACACCAGAGTGGCCGAGACCTTTATGGACTGTTATCTAGCTGCTTGACTCCACATTCCTCTCACGGCTTTGGACCAGGTCATACCAGGGACCTTACCATACCAGTCTGTCGATGGCAGACCCCTGTGCCCTTACCCCCTGTGCCATAGAACCCCAAAGATCAGGATGAGATCTACAAGCATTCTAAGGACCTCAGTTTCCTAATCATCACTGCCCCTTATGTGCCACTTATCCTCGGTCATTCCTGGTTTCAGAACCATGACCGTCACATCTCCTGGTCCTCAGGGAAGGTCATCGCCTGGGAACCATCTTGTTTCACTCATTGGGTCCCAACACATCTACCTGCAGGTGTGCAGATCTCGGAGGGTGTTGAGTTGCACCTAATCATCCCCGAGTACTATGATCTTGCTCGAGTATTTGCCAAGGAACCCACTAAAAAGTCCCTCCTCATCTTCCCTACGACCTCAAAATAAGGCTGAAACCTGGCACACTACCACCCAGACTTTTTCCCCTGCTGAGACCCGGGCAATGGATGCCTGCATAGTGGATGCTTTGCAGCGGGGATTCATCCATCCCTCAAGTTCACTTGGGGCAGCAGGTGCTTTCTGTCTCACCCCATCAGCCTTTTTATTTTGTTAAGAAAGTGTAAAGAGACCTCTGACCCTGTATAGACCACGGAGGTTTGAACCGAATAACCATCTGGGATCGTCGCCCCTGCCTCTAATGACCACTGCCCTGGATGCAGTTTCCGAGGCAACCATCTTCAACACCTCAGGAGCGCTTACAATCTGGTCTGCATTAAAGAAAGCAATGAATTGAAGACTGCCTTCATTACCCCAATGGGCCATTGTGAGTATTTAGTGATGCCCTTCAGGTTGTGTAACAGTCCTGCTGTGTTCCAGCAATTCATATTGGATGTGCTGCAGGACATGCTGGGTCGATGGGCCTTTGTGTACATTGATGACATTCTCATCTACTCCCGAACCAAGGAAGAACATGTCACACATATCAGGGCAGTTCTCACCCATTTGCTGGAGAACCAATCGTACTGCAAGCTCGAGAAATGCAACTTCCACCAAGAAACCACCTCCTTTTTGGGATATGTCATATCCTCAGAAGGACTATCCATGGACCCTCAAAAGATCCAGGCGGTGGTCGAGTGGCTGCGACCTACTTCCCTCAAACAACTCCAAAGCTTCCTAGGCTTTACAAACTTCTACTGATGCTTCATTATAAACTTCAGTACCACAGCATTGCCTCTCACTGCACTGACCAAGCCTGCCACATTGGCTGGTGCTTTCTGTCTTACCTCACCAGCCATCCAGTGCCTTTCACACACTGGTTTACCAATTCACCACAGCACCTATCCTTCTCCATCTGGACCTGACTCGCCCATTTGTGATGGAAGTTGATGCCTCCGATGTAGGCGTGGGGGCAATTCTTTCCTTGAGCGGCTCTGATTCCAAGCTGCATCCCTTCACCTACTTCTCCCGGAAATTTTCTGCCATACAGCAAAAGTATGGAGTGGGTGATCGAGAGCTGCTAGCCATCAGGTGGGCATTGGAGAAGTGGCGGCAGTGGTTACTTGGGACTACTGACCCATTGACCATCTGATTCACATCCAGTCAGCCCGTCAACTCAATCCACGCCAGGCTCGGTGGGCACTGTTTTTTGAGCCATACCACCTTCTTCTAGCCTACCGACCAGTCTGTCCACCTGGTAGCCTTTCCCGGTCTTTCCACTGCCAAACAAACCGCAGAACTGCTTCTCGAGCATGTGGTTCGCCTTTATGGCTTCACAGGGGATGTGCCTTCTGATTGTGGTCCTCAGTTTGCCTCCTGGTTCTGTAAAGCCTTCTGCCATTAGGTGGGGGCCACTGTCATGGTTCCGGCACCCTAGCCCCCCTGACATTTAACCCCCAGAACTCCACTACCCAGCAGCAGCAACTACCCCAGGCTTCTGCTCACGGGGTGCGCTCACTATACATACAGAAGTGGCTTACTTCCGCTCATCACTCAGTCATCTTTCCTGTTTGAACCTTGCAGAGGTGGTTGGAGAGACTGGTGGCACCAGTGTTTGGCAGCCTTGCCTCTGTCAGTGCACCCCAAGGCAGCTGTGGCTACATCGTAGCTCATCCCCACCAGCATGTGAATGTGTGTGTGAATGGGAGAATGACTGTGTTGTGAAGCACCTTGGGGGGTTGTAGAAACCTAACAAGGCACTACAGAAATTATGGCCATTTACCATTTTAAAGCTGCTACTCACTTATCATGTCGTTGAACACCTCCCCCAGAGTCGTGAATTCTTTCAGAACGAAGACATGGTTCTCGTTACTCTTTTTTGAGCCAAGAGAATTCAGCTCTTCTCTGTTCACTTTGTCTCCAACACCAAATACATAGATGTCTGAAAAAAAGAGAACATAGAAGTCATATAGAAGACTGGCTGTTCCATGTAAACATGCATTATGGTGGCTCAAAGAAATCTCCCAGCTATCAGTTTACGTCTTAGAATACTTTATTTTATGATGGAAAGGTTCCCTGTGTTGTAATTGTCTTCTGTCATTTTTTATATAACTAACTGAGAAATGTTGTGACTGTATCATTTGCTGCCTCTTGTCCAGGACTCCATTGAAAACAATAGAGGTGTGTCTAAGTCACTCCTTTGCAAGTCACAAGTAAGTCACGAGTCTTTCCAGTCAAGTCTCAAGTTAAGTCCAATTCAAAGAGTACCAGGTCCAAGTTGAGTCCAAAGTCGATGTGGAAGTCCAAGTCAAGTCCACGTTCTTAACTTAGATTTTTCAAGTCATAATCAAGTCATCTGTCCAACTTCAATTTAATGACAATGATAACTGTCAGTGTCGCAGGGCGACTAGGCAAGGTGAGACCCACACGCAAAGGAGGGCAGGGGTGAGCAGATCAGGTGGCATGAGTGTGAGTGGAGCTAGGGGTGGATGGAGAGGAGGAAGGCTGAGCCTGGGGTGGAACTGGAGCGGGTTGGCAAAGCGAATAGTTGACCGGAGATTTGTGGGCACATGATCACCCGGATCAGGAGCTCTATCGTGGAGAGACAAGGTCTGAGCATCGGAGTGGTGAGTGAAAGCAGTATTTAACTGGTCTTGCTGTGGTTGCTGTCCAATGGTGAGGTGGGGAGTAGATCATGCGCAAGTGTTGCAGGTTGAGCGTGATGAGGACCTGACAATAATAAATAAATTCCAGAAATAAAGCTTCTTAAAGCTGGATTTATTTTCTCCAACAAGCAGAAAGTGCAACTGAACTTGATTATAAACAAATTGCTGATGCATTTAGCAGTACAAGATCAAACCCAGAACGAAGGATAATTTATGTTTTGTGTCCATGTCGGGCCACTTTTGTGCTAAAATATCAAATATGCTCAAGTCATCAAGTCAACAGATGCAAGTCGATTCAAGTCCCAAGTCATTGGCGTTCCAGTCTGAATCAATTTGTAAGTCTTTGTAGATTTTATCAAGTCAAGTCAGAAGTCATTAAAATAATGACTCAAGTCAACACCTCTAGAAAACAGTGTTGCCAACTCCCTCCAACAGAAAGGAGGTGAAGTTGACCCAGAAAGTCACCCAGATGACATCACATGCTAATTTGCATGTTGGTGACGTCATCAAGACACATTCCCCTCAGCATCTAAAAAAATATACAGAAAAAGGTGAACATTTTTATCCTGCCTTTCAATATCACTGCTACAAATATAGGACAACGCCACACAAACCACATTGGGTCCCATTTTTCCCGATGTTCTATCAGAACACCTAGCTCATAGCTAAAGTGAATATCAGACTCTGCCAACAAAATGGCTCAAAAACAATGTAAACGTTTTACATATTTATTGCAAAATCTCATTTTTGTGCTGCTTCAGTGCTGCAACAACATTTTATTAATGAGAAATGATTATATCTTGTGTTTTACATCGTTGTTACAGCTTCAGATTATTAGGAATGCGTTGTTTCAGCTGTGAGATTAGTCGATGGGATCAATGAAAAAGAACGTTTGTCACGGACTCCATGGAAACTTTCAGAGAATCCACAAACAGTGGCTTTCAGTCGGTTTTGTTACTGACTTATTGTTGTGAGTTTAGAAAAGAAGCAGATGAGACGGCGTGTCCGACAATTTTGTTTTTCATCTGATAACATTAGAACATGTCAGTGATGTCTGAGGTGTTTTAACAAACACTGTATAACTAACACTCCTGGACAGGGTATGAATTACACAGAGGCTTCTGGGGAAGCCCAGTGATGGGGGTGTTCTGTTTGGTCTTGGTCCCCAAAATGCCTTGAAACGGCCCTGGGTGTGTGACTGAGTGTTGAAGGAGATCTGAATTGTATCAGATGTATAAATATTACATGTGTGTAACTTAAAAACATGTAGTGGAGATAAATCTACCTACATTTTACTTTGTTTTCTTGTTTTTATTTAACTAATTTCCCGTCCTGTGTCTCTCATCTTCCTGCATCTCCTCTAAACTCCCCAGAAAATCTGCTGCCTGGATTCTTACTTTTTCACCTCATCAGTTACTTTTGAGCAGATCAAAGGGATCTCCTGACCGCAAAGCAGAGCGCACGTTTCGATGCTGCGTCAGTGAGGTGACATCACCGCAGCACATGATGAGCGAGTGCATCAGGCACTATTAACCCTTTGATGCATGAATTATGAAATCTTCAACCATGATTTTTTAAACAATTTTTTTCATTCATCTTTAGGTGTGAATGAAACAAATTTCATATTCACATATTTTTTGTAACATTTAATTTACACATAGTTTATTACATGTCCACCTCAGTGGGCAGCATGCATTCTGAACATGAAATATGTTGGCTTGACTTACTGAAGTCGAAATGGAGGGGCTCAAATGCAATAAAGTCTTCAACAGCTGTGCTTAATAGCAAAAATAAATAAATAACAGTTTTGAGTACCTGTCCACTGTAGTGACCACTATGCATCAAAGGACAAAAGACAGAATAAGGACATGAACGATCGTGTGTTAATTATAGTTTTTGGTTGTGCCACTTTGAGAATGGACCGTGCGCGGAACACAGCCGCCTGGAGCGCACCAAGATCAGCCCTCTGCCGCTCTCTGTGCTCTCCGCTCAAAAGAACCCCCGGTACGCTGAGTCCATAAAAATGATGTAATATAAGTGGAAACATTTTCCCGGCTCTCCCTGGAAGTGTAGGATATCCAGACCCCATCCCCCCCCAATAATTTGATCCCTGCTCCTAGATGAAAAACCGGACATCAGCATCAATACAAGAAACGGAGTGCTCGGGTGTGTGTGTGTGTGTGTGTGTGTGTGTGTGTGTGTGTGTGTGCGTGGGTGGGGGGGGCATTCAAGAGCTGGAGTTGCTAAGCCGTTGCTTGGCCCAATCTTGGGGTTGCTTTACTCAGTTTATCTTCATTTAAACTCTAAAGCACACACACCTTGTCTTAGGTCCATAGCTGATGCCTGAAACCTGGATGCTTTGTGCTAGGGATGTGAACCACTAACTTAGCATGAAGTTAGCTTTGTGGTCTTGTCCATCGGCTTGCGTTAGAATTATTCCTACAATTTGGAAACTTTTGGGGGTTTTCGCTGGGTGTTGTCATCCCTTTTGCATTCAACCTGTGGCAAGCTCGTCTAACTGTATGATCGTTTAGAGCAGCAGTAGCAGAACAAGTGCACTTGTTAAATGACTGGAAGGTTACACTGGAAGGAGATTGTGTAACCCGGAAGTGAACATAAACAAAGCGTTGATTTTCAAATTAAAGTAGACTTTTTTTTTTTTAAATTGATTATTCAAGTATTCGTTTCAGCCCTAGCCATCTTAGATAAAGCAGGCTAACAGTAGCAACAGGATGCCTGACCTCTGTACAGATTATTCTCGCTCTAATTGGCGGAATATTGAGATCATAGCTCGGGGATTACTTTTCACAAGTAAGTTTGAGCATTTTTGTTGTTTGCATTTGGTAAATGGTCTGTATTTGATATAGTGCCTTCTAGAGTCCTGGAACCCCCCAAGGTGCTTTACAACACAATCAGTCATTCACCCATTCACACCTTGGTGGTGATGAGCTATACTGTAGCCACGGCTGCCCTGGGGCACACTGACAGAGGCAAGTCTGCCGTACACAGGTGCCACCAGTCCCTCAGACCACCACCAACATTTATTACTTTGCTGTACTGTATTTGTGTCCACCAGCAGCACCTCCTAGTCAGCTAACATTAGCTACATGTTTACTGCTGCTGTCTCCCTGACGGTGAAGCTAAGTGAGACTTTATTAATCATTTACTCCTAAACACTGACTTATATTACAGCTGAAACAAGAATGCTGCTGTAGAAATCAAACAAATCTTCCTGGTATCAGATACATTTCATGTCTCTGACCCTCCTCTCTGACTGCAGAAAAGTTAGCTAACAAGCTGCCATGCTAACATGCTGTTAGTTGATTTTTATGCAGAACTTTTTTCTGGTTCTACCCTTTGAGGTGTGTTGGTTCTTTTTCAATAGTAAATGCTATTTTTGGGTTAAAGAAAGGTCCTAAAAATCCTAAGGAATAAGTAAACAGAAGAGTAAGACATAAGAAAATAGCACTGCCTTTGTACAAGGCTGTGTAGATCCTCAAATCTCATGTTTTTGTTTTGTAGCTTCCTCACAAAAGATGTGAGGAAGAAGTGTGAGGCTTCATGCAGCTGATTTATTCTGATCAGAACTGGGCTGTGTCAGACTGGGAGACTCAGAGATGGAGTTTATTCTCCAGATGATTCTCCTTCAAAGAGTAAGTGTATCATAAAGCCATCCGTATCCATACATGTGCATGTCCTTTTATCAGTCACAAGGCACAGTGCAATATTTTCCCCACATACCTCGTCTTGATCTCATTTCTCACTAATTCACCGAAGCCCTCTACGTGACAGAAGTGTGCGCACGCCTGGCTTCTCAGAATTAAAAGCACGGAAACTGCAGATATGAGCATGTGTGTGAGCAAAGGTCGTGATTGAAACAAAGCATGTGTAAGCAGGATTTGTAAAAGTGTACATGCCAAGGGCCTAGGCTGCAACGCAGGTGTGAAGGTGCAAACCACAAAATCAAACATGAAGGAGATGGGTCTGCAGGGGGGTGGAAACTTTTTGCTGAAATGACAAAATGTGACACTTCGTCTTTGAACATCTTAGGTGTGTTCTTACTGTGTCATGGTTCTAATTCCATGCTTTCGTTCTTTTTTAAACACATAAACAGTTTTGTTTACCTGTTTTGTAGCTACAGTTTCGCCGACAGCTGCCGGCTTCATCAGGCTGACGCTGATGGTGGCGCCACTTCCTTCTCCGTTTATCTGCGGGCAGCAGAGGACGTTGTCGCCCTCTACTGCCCGCTCTCCCCTCTCCGACCATGCAGTCCCAT